TCTCTCTCTCTCTCTCTCTCTCTCTCTCTCTCTCTCTCTCCCCTGACTCCTCTATGTTGGTCTTCTTTTCTTGCTCACTACCTCATGGCCTGGCCTATTCTGCTGGTCATGAACAGTCTACCTCTTTCTCTCCCTGCTATGGAATCTTCCAGATGCCCCCCTCTTTATTCTCCACCATGTCTGTCAGAAGAACCTTCCCCTTAACCATTAAAGGAGAGAAAATAATGCATTCTTTTCCCATCTGCACATCAAGATTTAAATATAAGTGTGTCTCTATGACATACAAGCAGAGTGGGCAATGTAGAAGCAGAACCTACTAACAGGAGCATAAGGACAGGACTGGGCAATAGAGGAGAAATACTGAATAAATTACAATGATAGGCATGTCTGTATCAAAGTTTCATAATGTAACACAACATTTTAAACACCCACTAAAATTACAAAAGAGAGAAATTGTGAAATAGAGATATAAAATTCTGAGCAGAAATATGTTTATAAAGGACTTACTACACCTTAGGCTGTTTGAATGAAGTCTCAAAGTTTCTATAAACACATTTTTTTTAAATTTCTTTTGCACCTAAGTCATAGAGTAAAAACTACTTAAATTTTCTTGTAGTTTTTTTTATGATTAAAATGTTACAAGGATTGTTTTAAACTGGGATTCCATGAAGCATATTGGAGTTAGCTGGTAATGTATAACAAACTATAATAAAAGAAGCAAATATTTGATGACTCAAGACTCCAAGATTTAGAGTTGGAAAGATGATTCTGAGATCAAGAGGACTATACTGCCCTTGTAGAAGATCTGAGTTCAGTTCCAAGACACAAAGTAGGCAACTTATGGCAATATTTAACTGTAGCTCCCTGGGGACCAATGTAGCATTCTTCTGACCTCTGAAGGAACTGTACACAGAAATATGGTAACACACACACACACACACACACACACACACACACACACTACAACTACCTCCATTACTATTACCACTACTAATAATTCTATCAATTAATATCTAAAAAAAAAAACAACCACAAATATCAGTATCAGGATTTATTCTGTGACAACATCCAGTTATTCACATATACAAGAACAGGAAAATAAACCCCACTCTCCATATATATATATTCAGATTTAAGAATTTATTCCCATGGAAACAGCCCTGGAGGGAAACCAGCCATTTTCTCCTGGAATACTTTGTCAAAGTCTTCAGCTTGGGCTACTGTAAAGTGATTCTTCCAGTCCCTAGTCGTGCCTAGAAAATGTGAGGCAGACACATAGATGGGTTAATGATGATCTCAACACTGCTCTCAGTCCTTCCTTCACATGCTCTTACCATTTGACAAGGACCACATGGTTAATAAAGGGGAAGTACCAGTGACTTCCTGGAGAACACATCTTAGACCTTGAAAAATTATACATCAGACTTCTACCTCTGTGGCAATAATGTCTCCCCTTCTCCCATCTCATCATATCAGCTACACACTCTAAGAGATTCCACACTAGCTCTACTTTTTAGTTGTTCAGATTATTCCTTCTTCCCACTACACCTGCTTCCATCACACTGTCCAATCCAACAGAGTTTCTAAACTTAATTATCCAAAAAGGTTTCAATTCTTCTTTGTAAATTTTAGTGGTTACTTGTAAAGGTTCTGCAAAACATGCAAGCAACTTTTAAAAGATCTTTTAAAATTAAGTTTAATTATATGTGTGTAGGTCCACATGATGCAGCTTCCTGCAGAGCTTTGAGGCATCAGATCCCCTTGAGCTAGAGATGCACACTGTTGTGAGCTGCATGCCAACATCTTGATAATTTCATCGGGTGCAGGAGACCCAGATATCTTCCAACTAAGAATGTTCCAAGATTTCTGTTTTCACTCAGCATGGTGTCTGGTGATGCATCAAGACCTACATATTTTTTTTTAGCATATCTTTTTACCAGACTTTGGTTCTCATCACTCCATTCCTGTATGTCTTTAGGTTTTACTTTAGAGATGGCCAACTGTGTAACTGCTTTCATTGAATTGTGTGTTCCTTCTTTCTAGAGTGCTGATGTCTTCCATATACTCACTTATTTTCTTTTGTTTCCAAATTTATGCCCATGTGACCACCTTTTCCTATTTTCCTTCCATATAGATCTCTGCAGGCCACATCCTTGTTGTATTTTCATAACAGTGACACATTGATGAATTTCCTTTTTGTAAAGATGCCTGAAATTTGTATCTAATATATTTAAAAAGCAAAATGTTTCTTTCATCGGCAAAGGATTCCTTCATCAAATTATATCAGACACACAGAATATACTCAGTGTGGTATTTTTGAAAGCATTCATGAATGAGTGAGGAAAATACTGGCCTTGTTTCCATTTTGCTGATGAGAAAAAATTAGTCCTTGAGATGTTACCCAGCATGAGAGTGATGTATGTAGACTTGAAGCCAAAAAGACTGACTGTAGAAATCTGCTTTTCTTTATCACATTGTATTCCTTATGTATCATATAAGTTAACTTTAAATTCCCAGTGGTATTACTAAAAGAAATATAATATATTCAGAATTAAGTGGTAACTATTGCTACACAATATTCAAATATTATGCCATTAATTGATATTACTATAAGAATGTCATCTTTTAAGAAGGTAACTTGTAGGTGTCCATTGCTACTCTCACCTTTCTTATATCTTCATTATTAGAACAAATTTCTCTATTGTTTCCCACAGTACACCTGTCTCTTGATAAACCAGATGGATGCTGAGCTAACAGAGTCTCAGTAAATTCAATATGACTGCCCACTTGGACTGAATCAGTCCAGATGAGAGAAGGATGTCTTTGCAGGTACACACATGAAGTTGTAATTCAAATCCTGTCAAAATCCTGTGGCCCTTACAAGCATATGTTTCTCTTCATTCATTCTTTCTAAAAATCTCCTCAAACTCTGGTGTATCAGAGGACAGGATATCTCTAAATCTTTGTGGCTTAACTCTTGTTGGAAAGGAACTTCCTCACAGTCCTGGAGGAGGCAGGTCTCACAAAAAGTTGTTGTCCAGACCTTCCTGGGCTTTTTACAGGCCTGCAGATAGTGGGCTCCTCACTAGGTCTTCTTCCCTCTTTGTCTCAGACTACAGCCTTCTAAGGACACCAGGGAAAATAATTCATGGCTCAAGCATTCTATATAGGAAACATCCACTGTGAAGTACTGAGGTCCAAAACCTTTGAAGTTTGTCAGAAGACCTTTCCTTCCTCATGTCTTCATTGTGACAATGTCTTTATAAAAGTTCTGTCAACTAAAGAGTGGATGCATGAGAATGACCATCTCTCTGATCTATATTTCCTGAGTTATCTAAATATGGCATCATAATGATTAAAATTGTTTGTAGATAATTATTGTTTAAAGCTTAATACCAGATTCATTCCACCTAGTCAGATGATTGAGTCTCCCAGGTAAAAAGTAGCTCTTTAGAGTTGCTCTCCAGAGGTAAAAAAAAAAAGGTATTTTTTTGGGTCCTGAGAAGAGCAAATAAAGGACAGTGAAAATAGGTCTAGAGAATTCTTCCTGCTTAAGACCAGTCTAACAGTTAGCAAAGGTGTTCATGAATTATGGTTTAGGGTATTCAGTATCTACTGATAAGTAATAAAATTCATTTTAGAATTAATCTTTGATCTGCTCTTCCCTTCACGATTAAAAAAGGAACCAATATGACATAGGAATTGAAAAGACCAACATTATCCTCATGCATCATATTCTTTCAAAAGTGTTTCCGAGATCTCTCTCTCAGCATCCTCTATAAAGAAGTCATGAATCAGGGCTGGGCAGGTAATGATGTTGGTTTCCTCCTTCAATGTCCTTGTTTCCAGTGGACTCATGGTTTATAATGAGTGTGAGTAAAAGAAAAATAATTCCCCAGAGTAAAAGTTATCTTTAAATGCAGAAGAAATGGATGTCATATATAATCACTATGATAAATTACAAAGAACTTATGGTGAAATATCAAGTTTTATGACAGAATCACCATATATGATACATGAAAAATACAATATTTCAGAGAAAATTAACTAAAATCCCACTGTGGTCTCATCCTCAAAGGTCTACATGGAAAAGAGGAAATGACAGTTGTCTTCATGGAATTGTGTCCTTATTCTCTTGCATCTGCTCTATTGTGTTTCTGACAAAACTTTTACTTGTTTGTTTCCATAGCCTTTCCTTATTAAACAAGACATTTCACTCCTTTTGGCATTTCATTGAAGCTTTTTATGTATCCATACTGTTTTACCTCTGCCAAATTCTGATTCATTACAGGAAATCCAAGAATGGGCCAATTCTCTTCTTATGTGGGACCTTCACTTCTAGTGCAGACAACTCTGTCTCCACAGAGTCTGGGGCACAGCAGTCTGAGGTTATCTGTCAACAGCAGTGGATTCTCTGGAGGTCTCAGTCCCTAGTGTATAGACAATGATATTCTTCAAGTGACATGTATATGTGCTCAGATCTGAGCCGAAACTTCCATTTGTGAGGACACCAGGAGTATTGAATTAAATGCAATCTGATAACCACTTTAACTTACTTCTCTGTTTGTATACTCCTGATGTCTTTATGTTCTATGACCTGATCCTTACACTCTAGGGTAGAGGAGGGTTGCAGGTTAAGGCTGAAGCATACAAATTATTGGAAGAAGAAAATTAAACCCATAACCAATAACTCTCTACTTGCTGAGTCTATATCCATTTTCTTTAATTATCCCCAAAGGCCTGACATCTGATTCATTTCTTCTTCAATGCCAAGTCCCATCTCACCAATTATCTGCTAATAGAAAAGGTGACATTCCAGGTGTGGTTCTTTTTGTTACACTGGCTTCTCAACTTTACGGTTATGTAACCACACCCACAATCTGCTCCCAGCATAGAGAGGTAGCACAGACATAGAGAAGATGGATATTCCTATTCCTAGAGAGGCATTCAGAACAAACTGAGTAGCCCTGAGCCTGAAGCAATCCAAATTTAAGTTGGTAAATACCATCAGGTGTAACTCTGGTGAATTATTTGCTTAGTCTTTATGGGGTCTAAACTCAGTTTGATTTCGGACAGCAATCTTGGCATGTTCAACATCTTTTCCAGCCATGAATGGAAGTGTTTTCTGTGATTATCATTGTGAATATATCTTTGGTCCCATGCACTATGTGTTTTCTTTAGATTTCTATAATATATGGAGCCTTCCTAAGCCTCATTGCAACACTTCTACCCTTTCATTTTCCATTGAGGGTATTGGACACAACCATCTGCAATCCCAAGATGCTCTCCCAGAAGAAATCAATTTTTTCAGAGCTACTGAAGCCCACATCATCACCATTGAATGACTCTTCTGTAAGGTCTGTGAGAAAGTATGATATGATGATCAATGACTTCTGAACCATTCCGAACTCTTTCCTAGAGTCTCACTGGAACAACATGCCCTCCACACTTCCTGACATCATTTAAAGCTCAAAAGCTTCTTCTTCACCTTTTCTCTAGAGAACTAAACCATTAGGAGCCAAATCTTCTGTAATGATACTGAAATTGGACATTTTATTTTCCTTCATGGCTTGGAAGGAACTGTACTTGAGGACCATATCCAGCTCATCTGGCTCTAATTTTTTTCCAAGGAAGTCACAAAACTTCTTTATGGAGCTCTTTGTGTCCTAAAAGAAGAAGAAACAAAAATGAAGGTTATCAAATGAAAGCTCTGAGAGAGAGAGCAGATGCAGAGCTGGGAACTATGGATGGAGGATGAAAAGAGGATATGAAGAAAGAAATGGGAACATGAAATGAGAAAGTAATGAAATGTGTTTAGGAAAGATACAGGAAATGTTGACAGGGTAGGAGTTTCACAGCATTTTAATATTGAGTGGGCTTGCATTGTGACTGATCTATATCCCTAAGAGTCATAGGCGAGATCAGTGACAAGGTCTCATATAACCAATGCTATTCTCAAACTTACTTCCTATTGGATGAATTCATTTAAAAGCTGATCCTCTTACTTCCATCTTTGCAGTGATGTGTTGTCAGGTTTGTGACAACCCACCTACTAGATGTACTGATGTTTTTCTTGAGAGGTGTTCAATATGGAGGGAGCCCTGTCTGGTGGGATGGGAGTTGCTCTGGAGACCAGACTGAGCTCAAGCTCAAAGAGGTCAGAGTTCCACCTACATGCTTTGCCACCTAAGTGCTGGCATTAAAGCTGTGCACCACCGTACACAATGTGCCCTATGATGTTCAAAGAGACTTACAGAAATAATTGGAGACGATGATCTACAGGAAAGAAGAAAATGTGCACAATGAATTTAGAGAGGTTAATGTTTACACCATGTAAAACTGCACCTATGGGTAAATGCGAATAATAGTTTTAAACTTTCATAAGACTGATCTCAATAATTATTATTTGGGGGTACTTCTGGGAGATATTAGTTTGTTTCGAGTTTTACCTCATGCTGTAACTCAGAAGGGCATCACATTCACAGTCTTCCTGCTTCAGATACCCATATTCTGGAATTACAATTGTGAGCTCTCACAACTGGGTTAATACTAAGAAATAGTCACAAGAAGGCACAGTCTTGGATTTTGCTTTGAATTCCAGCCCTTTTCTTCTGAGGACAATTGTAAGAGCCATGCCATATTGCCTGCCTGAGTTAAGTTTCTGCTGTCCAGTATTGAGCCACTAACCAGAAACTATTGACATGCCTGGACAAGTCCTGAGTTATTAGAAAATAACTTAACGTTTCCTTATCTTTCTGCTATAGTAACCATAAATAACAATGTTTTGTAGTTAGATTGCTGGGTTGGGTTGCTTGGCAACTCAACAGTCCCCTGAACTTTTCCCAAAGAAAGTTTCCTGGTCTGCTTGCTATAAAAACCACCTGAGAAAAATAAAATTTTGCAGCTTGATCAGAATACTGTCTTGCTGTCATTTCTTTGTGTCTCTTCTCCCTTTCATTCGCCATTCCCCATTCTAGGGTCTCTTTGCTGACTATCCTGCTGCCTGGGACACTTTTTCTGGGCCGGGACACTTTTACTAAGGGACTAAAGGTACCACTTTCTCAAAACTTTTATTACATATTTTATCACAGATTTAGTTAATATCTCATGGGAAGGTAAACAACATGGCAATAACAGAAAAAAATGCGTGGAATGTTTGGAGAGAAAACTTATGGGAAACTGCACTACCGTGCAACAAAGACATCTTAGTAAGGAAGCTTCCTGGGAAATACTGAATTTTGTGAAGAGAAAGTAAAAGATTTTACAAAAGACCAAAGAGTCTTTTATATTGCTACTTATGTAGAAAGTTTGTGTTCCTGGATGATATCATTAAGAGATCCAATTCCTTTTGAATAATCCAGTTTCTTGTTTTGATGCTCCCTAATATTTTACATTAAAAATTATTTTTTGATTTTTGCCAGGGAAGCATGTAGGCTGACTGCAGATTTTTACCTTTCACTGTGCTCCTCCAGATCCAATTCCCCAATCTCATGCCCATTAATGCCACAAAAAATCTGTAGCAACTCCCCCCCACAACATAGAATAGATTCCACAGATCTTCTGACTTCAATCCTGTAATTCATTGTAATATCCCAGCATTCAACTCCAAGAGGACCTCATTGGGAAACCAAAGAACATTCTGGTCATGAAGAAATAAAGTAACTACACATCTTCACCTCCCCCTCATTCCTTTAAGTCCAACCACCCCAAGGTTTCCCCTAGCCCTGTAGCAGAACACCTGCCTCAGCCACTCACATCTCTAGCGGATCTCCCCTCCTAACATCCCAACACCAATGCATTGATTTGCTCCACACCTCAACTCCATCATGCATTCCCTGGGAACCCATAGATCAAACTGGGCATGGAAGCAGTTAGGCTAAATGCACATCTTCCAATCTCTACTTGCTCCTTTAAGTCCAGGGTCCTAGTCTCCTTCCCAGCTCGGTGTAGAACATCTGCTACAGTCTCCCTCCACTGAATGCTATTGCTTCATATGGATAACGTAAGTGTTATGCTCCAAAGTTCCTTCTTCATACCCATTGATTTGTCACAGCAAATCCTGAAATCCAGAAGACACTCCCTAAGCACTTACAGTCCACTCTAACCAGGAAAGCAAATAGGCTAACTGCAGATCTTCATCTAACCCTCCATTTTTCCAAATCTACTCCTCAGTCTCATTCATAGCTTTATATCAAACCTTCTGCTGTGGCCTAACCTCACTCAGTGGCCTCATTCTCAGGTAACTAACTAACTAAGCAGCTCCTGAGGAAAATGTTTCTATATTCCCTCCTGTGGACATTTTTAGGACAACCTCCTAGACTATTTCATTTCCTAAGTTTCAGCTTTTTATATCTTGAAACATTTTACCTGGAACTCCCATTGGCCACAATTATCAGGACCCCAGAAGAATTTCCTACCAGATAACACAGCCACTACACTCTCCTAAGTACCAGACAGAGCAACAAAAATAAGGAAGGAAGCATGAACCCAACAAAGCCAAGAGCAGATATATTTTTAATTATATATATATATATATAATTATAATTCTAATTTTCCCAATGCTGGATGCCTAGATGCCAAACTGAAAGCATAGTCCATAACACCCAAGACAGTATGTTTTCACTAGTGCCCAGAAACCATACTAGAATAGGCCCTGAATATTGTACCATAGTTACAGAAGAAGAAATTGACCCTAAAATAGCATGTATGGAAATGATAGAGGAACAGAGTAAATCTCATTAAGAAATCTATGAAAACACAGCGTAAAGAAAAAGAATAAACCACTCAAACCTGAAAGTAGAAATAAAATCAATCAAGAAAACTCAAATTATAGGAAATCTGCAGAAGAAAAACTTAGGCACTCAAACAGGAACCTCAGATGTGAGTTTCATGAAAACTGGAAACAAAGAGTTGATTTCTTAAGAAAATCAACAAGATAGACAAGCCCTTATCCAAATTAACTAAAAGGCAAAAACACATACACACACACACACACACACACACACACACAGAGAGAGAGAGAGAGAGAGAGAGAGAGAGAGAGAGAGAGAGAGAGAGAGAATCCAAATTAACAAAACCAGAAATAAAAGGGGAAATAACAACAGACAATGAGGAAATCCATAGAATCATCAGGTCATACTTCAAAAAACTACTCCACCTGAAAGAAAATGGCAATTTTCTGGATAGGTAGCACATATCAAACTTAAATCAGGAACAGATAAACATTTTAAATAGACCAATAACCCCCACGGAAATAGAACAGTCCTTCAATATCCTCTGCTTAACAGGAAAGTCTGTCAGATGTGCTTAGCCTTCAGACGACCTTAGGATGCCCCAGTGTTATAGAGGACCTTTGGGTGACTGTCCAGGCAAACTGATATCCCTGCCATTAGGTAACTTTTCAGCCTTCTGGGGTCTTTGATGGAGTTGCAGACTAAATAATTCTAATCATAATTTTCCTTAGTTATAATAGAAAGTAAATTAGATACAAAACTTTAGACAAACCAAGATAAGATAGATAATTAGTATTTTCTCCAATTTTGCCAAATGTAAATGGATCAGATACTATTACTATAATTCTTATTTTATAACCGTTTTAGTTGTATATAGCTTTACTATATTAAGGTGAAAACCTTTCTTTTTTAATTAGACAATAAGGGGAAAATTCTCAGTGACAATCCCTTCTACACTATCAATATGTATTACTCATATTGGTTAATAAAGAGCTGACAGACCAGTAGCTGTGCAGGAAGTTAGGCAGTAAAACCAAACTGATAATGATGGGAAGAAGCAGAACAGATTCAGGAGTGCTGCCAGCTAGCTGATCAGGAAACAAGACATGTTAGAAGACACATAAATCCACGAGACACTTGACAATACATAGATGAATAGAAGTGGGTTAATTTAAAGGTAAGAATTATCTAGTAACAAGCCAGAGCTATCAGCTGTGAAATTAGAGATCACATTCAGCCTCTGAGTTGGTTATTTTTGACTAGGTAGTTGGGACAGGAAACTTTTAATTATATAGTCTTACCTGCAAGATATGCTAAGGCAATGATGCCACAAAGCTCAGGAGAGTAGTGAGGAAATGCTTGATTTTACTTAAGGCCTACTCTATGAGATGGAATATATAGCTAACACTGCTTTGTTGACCAGAGACTAGATAGCCTGGGAACCTAGAATAAAAGCAAATAATCTTGGCTTGAGAAATTAGTGACAAAGTGACTCCATGATGGTCTGCTGTGCTCTGATTAGTGCCTTGTACAGCCGTCATCAGAGAAGATTTCTCCCAAAGCAGTTGGGAAGAAAAATAGAGATCCACAGACAGAGCATACACAGAGTTTGAGATACTTTTGAACAATCAGCCCTAAGTGGTATGTCTCTACCAAATCTCTCACTTTGGAGCATAGACAACTCTTCAGAAGAAGAAGGAAAGGGGAGTTAGGGCCAGAGATTAGGGAGGACATTAAGAAAACATGACCATCCACATCAACTTAAGAAAAGCTCATATGGACCCACAGACTGGAGCATCACGCATAGTGACACACCAGTCTCCACCAATTCTCTGCTTATATGTTAGGGTCTACAGTTGAGTGATTTTGTGGTCTTCCTGGATGTAAGAGCATGTGGGTCTCTGCTTGTGCCTTCTCTTGTGCGGTTTTCATTCTGTTGGTTTATCTTGTTCAATTTTGAGGTAATAATATTACTTCATCAGATTGTACTTTATTTTGGTATATTTTTAAAAAATGACTGAATGAAAATCTAGCCACCAGGTTAAAGGATAACAATGGAACTGTCATTTATACTTCCTGGCAGAGGGAAAATCCACTGTCTCCAATGAAATGACACTGGATATATCAACTGCTCCAGGAAAGTCTTCATGTGCAGGAGATGTTGACCAACATGTAATGTACTCTAGAGTTTTATTTCTTTGTGTATGTGTGTTTCGTGTGTGTGTGTGTGTGTGTGTGTGTGTGTGCATGTGTGCTTTTATATGGTTGTATTTCGTTGCAGTTCAGTGTTTTTTTCTTTTGGTTATTGTTTTATTTTGTTTTCTTTTGGGGGAATTTTGTTTTATTTAGATTTTTTTTTTCAGACGGATTTTAAGGTTGTGTGGGTAAGGAGGAGGAGAAGAAAACTTGAAAGAAATTTTTGGAGAGAAAGAATATGATTAAAATATGTTTAAATTTAAAACTTGTTTTAAATTATATAAAAAATTATAAGAGAAATATAAATGAAAACAAGGAAGTTACAGCTTTCAGTAACCTTCATCGTCACCAGAATTTACTTCTCAAAGCTCAACAGTGGCTGTAAGACTGCTTTTTTTCCTCCTTAACTCAATTTTTTTGAACTATTCAAAGGATGGGTAAGTGTTTTCTCTGACAGACTGCACTTGTTTTTTTTCTTGTTCTTAAAAGGTATTTTTGATATTTTTATTCATCATATACAAAGGATGGTTATCTTTCACTGTTAGCTTCCAAGCTACTAAAGCTTTTGAGTTGCTGAACAAATGTGAATATTTTTGGGCTTATATGATGGTGTCAGTATTATGTGTCCATCAGTAGAGGGAGAATTTTTTTAACTAAATGAAAATAAAATACACAAATGAACTTAAAATTATTTAAATTAAGGATCTTTTGAACAATGTCTCTTTTAGCCAAGGTTGACCTCAAACCCACCATACAAACAAGATAACCTAGAACCCCTGACTCTGACTTTCTCTTTCTCCCCCAATGGTAATTTTAGAGTCATGTGATGCCTTGCCAAGATATATTTTTAATTTCAAAAAAATAGATATTTTAGACACATACATAGTAATTGAACATATTGCTACCTGTCTGTGGGGCATTTCAATGAAATGAAACCTGAAAGGATCTGATAAGGATATGGCCTATCAGTCTATTTAGACATATGCCATTACTTAATGTTGAAACATTTTAGATATTCTCTACTAAGAGTTAAGAAATCTCCAGTGTATTCTAGCCCACCATGCAGAACCCCCTGTACTGCAGAGCACAGGACACAATCATCCCTGACTGGCTGCATCTTGTACATTCCTGGTCAGGTGTGTATATCACTCAATTCATGTAACTTCAGCTCCTGTGCTCTCCCAGGATTCACAGATGGATTTCTTGCCTTTGTCCCTCTTCTTGTCATCAAGGGGGGATGACATACATTTGGGCACAATAGTGGAATGAAAGTGCTTTTCCTATTCCCCCACAGACTACTGGGTTATAAGGTTATTAAATGTGTTGCATAGACAGAATTACAAAGCCTATAGCACAAGTGTGAGCTACCCCAACCTACTCCAGGCTTGATAAGGTAAAGATGTGCGTGATGGATAAGGCAACTGCAGAGAAAATTTCAGGTGCATGTCAATAAAGGACCTAGGACCTAATTTCAGTTTTCTTGACTCTTTATGAATCTAAAACTGACATGGGGATACTGAGAAATATGGGGTGCTACATTGGGTGAGTTTGTGAGAGGTTCTGTGATTGCTGTAAGAATGACAATTACCTTTTTTATATCTTCATATCTCAATAGCAGTAAGTTGTCTCTTTTTCTCATGGATAGCCAGGCACAGGTGTGCTCAAACCATGATCCAAATGCCACTGTGGGAACGGAAGTGGAAAGCATTGCTTATAAAGAATGAAAGTCATGTCTTCCTGATATTTTTCACCTTTCTGCAAATGGCAGACTGCTTTACTAAGAAAAATGAAACTAGTATTTAAAATATACAATGTAATATTTGACATACACACAGATAATGAGCTGATTAAATGAAGTTCACTAGTATACTCATCATCTTACAGATTTATCCCTGATGCCTCATGAAGACATCCTTCTGATGGGCTTTAGTGATGGAGGCATGTTTTGGGGAAAAGCCATCATACCAACACAGTAAGCCAGAGAATTCTTGACATCGCTACAGTTGGACTTTATATTGCTATCATGTCTAAGGAACTATCTTAATTCTTTCTAAGGGAGATCTCCTTACCCTGGCATCCACCTCTAAGCTTCCACCATGTCTCAATAGTGACTCTTCAGTACCCTGGTGTTCTAAACACAGACTACTAGAGACCTTCCAGGCATAGAATTCCACCTTTACCCCTGTGGGATGACTCATCCCTAACAGGCTTGAGGTAAAAATGGGCCCAAATCAGTAAAAAAAAGATACTTTCCAAAAGCCAACCTGGTCTGCTTAAGGGCCTTAGCAAAAGCAGCTGAGACATGATCTGGAGATCACCTGGACCAATGAGAGGCAGCCAAGTCAAACCAGCAGATGCATATTACCCTGACCTTTTCCCAGGCTGGGGTGGAGGGTATGTACAACTTGCCTCTTTCTGAATAAACTGGGCTTGTTTTTTCCACATTCTTCCAGAGGCTATATCATTGACTCTGTGCCTACTTGCCCACATGCCCCCAGGGGAACAACAGCACAGGACCCTGATACACACCCAAAAACTTCATTTACATTCCTAGGGCTACTGTGATGTTTTCTCAACAGTCACAGTGTCTTCATTGTTCCTGGCTTAGGCTTTTGTTCCTTCATTCTTCCTCTCTCTGAATTTCTCAGCTGCCATTGCATATCTGCATTGTTTATGATTATCTGAAGAACTAACTAAATCAAGTGAGGAGTGAAGTTAAGAGTTAAGCAAACAGGGTAGAAAATAAGGCACAACACCTGACATTGTTGCTTGCCTGCCACATTCAAGTTTTGGCACAAGAACTGCCACATTCACACATTTATAGCCACATTATTATAAACACACATACCTATTCACGTTCAAAGAAAACCTAAAAGCCAAGTCAAATATGGCATACACCTGCAATACTAAAACTCACGATGTCAAGACAAGAGAAGACCAGAGGTTCAATGTCATATTCTAGTACTCAGTACACAGAGAATTTGTGGCCAATCTGGGATACAATAGATCCTGTCTGAAAACAAACAAAAAAACCAAAACTATTTTAGGGAGAGCACTAAAAATAAGCTAATGACATATATGTAGCTGGAAATTAACAGTGGTTCTGTCTTGGAAGTCATTTTAATAGATAAGTGTTTATTTGGAAGCAGGTATTAAAAAGAATATATCAACAAGAATGCCTCTGTCTTGGTATGTAGACAAGGATGGTCTAGAACTACTGATTCGCTTGAATCCATCCCATGAATATTGTGAAGAGCTGCATAAAACTGCACCCTAAAATACTCTATCAAGGGGAGAGAAAGTACTCCCAAGTGTTCACCACTTTTCTGTGGCTTTATGAGTAGTCAAGTGTACTTAGGGGACAGGGCTCATGACATCCCTTTCCTTCCACAGTCTATAGGCAGTTAGTGGTAGCTGGTGGAGGGACAGGTATTTTTTTTCAGAATAGGAGTTACTGGTGAGAAACCCATGTTCCTATAAATGACTGCTTCCCTGTGCTCCAGTAAGCAACCCCAATGGACCTCACTGGGTCACAAACACACACATGAAGAAAAGGGACATGGAAGTAGAAAGCCGAGTTACTTGGGAAGAGGAACAAGATCAACAAAAGTAGAAACAGCAGAAGAGAGGATAGTGGGCCATTAATTTGATCAAAATTATCTGCACACATGTATGAAAATGTCATAATGAAACTTGTTATTATATATGATTATTATAATAACTCAATAAAAGTTAAACTCTATGCAAAGTGCTAAGAATCCATGCCTATGAAAATACTTTTGTGACAATAAAGAAAATAGGATTTACAATATTTGTTAAGATGTGTCTTAACAAAACAGTGAACAGTCAGGATAACGTATGGGAAGCCAATAAAAAAATACTAAGAGAAACCACCACTGGGTTGTGTGGTAGGAACATGCACATTTGTTATTTTTCTGCCGCTGTGGTAAAACATCATGAACAAAGGCAACTTAGGTAAGCAGAAAGAGCTTAATTTTGGCTCATGATTCTAGAGGGCTAAGAATAAATGATGGGAGAAAAGAGACAATGACAACAAGTGGCAGGCAGGCTATAGCAGGAGGAAGCTGCAATGTCATCTCCTCACCTACATTCAGGAATCAGAGGCAAGCAACTGGAAGTGACTTAAGAACTTAACTTTTTGATGTGGATCTAGGGGAACACTCATCCAGTGCTAGTGTTAGTGAAAACTTTTACAGCCACTATGGAAATCAATATGGAGGTTTCTCAGAAAACTGAGAATCAATCAACCTCAAGACCCAGGAATACCTAATTCTACACATACCTAATATACACAAAGAATACTCAATATTTCCATAAGAGCAGTTGTTTAACTTTGTTCATGACAGGGTTTTTCCCACTAGCCAGAACATGAAAACAACCTAGGGTCTCCTCAGCCACAAAATGGACAAAGAAAGTGTGGTAAATTTCCACAATGAAGTATTACTCAGCTGTTAAAATCAATTACATTAGGAATTTTGAAGGCAACTGGAGGAACCAGAAAAAAAATCATCCTGAGTTAGGTATCTCAGATACAGAAAAACAGACATGGTATATACTCGCTCAAGAGTGGACATTAGCTGTAAAGTAAATGATAACCGTGCTACAATCCACAGCTCCATAAAGACTAGGTAACAAGGAGAGCCCAAAGTGTATGGTGATGTACTGATGTCCCTGGGAAGGGAAAATAGAAGAGATCTCCTGGGTTGACTGGGATCAGAACATGATAGATTGGGTTGGGGACATGGTTGGCGTGAGAGAGTAATGAAAGAAACATCTTGATGTTGGGCATTTGGGGTCAGGTAGAAACCTGATAAGAGAAACTCCCATGAATCTACAAGGATGACTCAAGCTAAGACTATTAGCAATAGTGGGTAGGTAGTCTGAACTGGCCATCTCCTGTAATCAGGTTGGTAACTACCCACATTGTCATCAGAGAGCCTTCCTCCAGGGACTGAAGAAACCAGATAGAGAGACACACTGGGCCTAGCTCAGGAAATCCTGTTGAAGAGACAGAGGAAAGATTGTATGAGCCAGGTGGCTAATGGTCATCACAAGGGTACCCACAGAAACAAATGACATGGGCTCATAGGAGCTCACAGTCTCTGGACTCACAGCTAGGGAGCTTGCATGGAACCAACCTAGGGCCTCTACATATGTGTGACACTTGTGTAACTTGATCTGCTTGTGGGACTCCTAGTATGGAAAACAGGGCCTATCCCTATTTCTTTGGTTGACTTTTAGGAACCTATTCCTCATAGTGGTTTATCTTGTCCAGCCAAAATGCAAGGAGTTTAGCTCTACCTGAACTTGATATGCCATGCTTTGTTGATTCCCATGCTGAGGCCTGCCCCTTTCTAAACAGAAAGAGAGGAGGAGTGGATGGGGGTGGGGTGGAGAAATTGGTGTGTGAAGGGGATTGGAGGAAAGGAGGGAGGGGAAACTGGTCAGGATACAGAATACATGAATAAATTTAATTAAAAAAGAATTTAGAACCTCTCAAATCCCACACTCAGTGATGTACCTCCTGCAAGGTTTTGCCTCATGAATCTTCTGAAACAGTGCCATCAAGTGGGAAACAGGTGTTTCAATGTCAAAGTCTGTTTGAGGCATTTCTTATTCAATACCACAAATTATTACACCTACCTTAGTACTGGAAACACCAGATACTCCAAACATTGTTGGGATGGTGTGTTATGGGTTAGCTGTGTCTGTGTCTGTTGTGTAGTGGCATGTAAAAACAGAAAGACTTCACAATTAGGTTCAAAATGGTGATGAGACTTGGAACCACATATTGGTTGAATACAGAGAGATAAGATATAGCCATGTGAAGACTACAGAATATACTAAAGCGTAGGGATGTAAGAAGTTAAATAAAATACATGATCTTGAGAATGAGTGCCAGCATTAAATTGATGGAACATGGTAGTAGGTGCTTTAGTCCTAGAACTCAAGAAGTGGATGCCTGAGGAGCAGAGCTTCAATATTGTCCCTGGCTATATAGAATTCAAGACCAACCTGAGCTATATCTCACCTTGTCATTAAAATGTCTCTGAACCTCCCCCAAGTCCTTTATTTAATAGGACACTCACCATTTCCTTTGATGAACCATTCAAAATAAGTTGTTAATGACCTTGGATTCTTAACAAATTTTGTCTTACTCCAGAAAAAATAACCAGACACAAGAACATCTCTGGGATTTCTGATGACATAGAGTATCTTAAATAGAAAAACATGTACATGACAGTCAACATAGCCATTCCAAACCTTTTAACTTGCACAGTTTATATGGAATGTCAGTCAAATCTCTATGAGGTTTCTAAAAACTTTATTTTTATTTGTATAAAACTTTACATAAGTGCAAATATCTATAGTGAGAATCCTCTTTTATAAATTTATTTCATTTACAAACATGTAACTGCACAATTACTCAGGTCACTAACACTTTAAAAAACAGAATAAATATAACAAAAAATCCAAGACTGATCCTATATTTGTAAAGATCACTATCTTACAGTGTGAAAAACCATACATCCAACTGGATCAGGTCCTCTGAATAGGTGAGACAGTTGATTGGCTTGATCTGTTTGGGAGGCAGTGGTACCAGGTCCTGGCCTTATTGTATGAGTTAGTTGTTTGAAACCTGGGATTTATGCAGGGACGCTTGGCTCAATCTGGGAGGAGGGGACTGGACTTGCCTGGACTGAGTCTATCAGGTTGATCTCAGTCCTTGTGGGAGGACTTGCTCTGGAGGAGATGGGAATGAGGGTGTCCTGGGGGAAAGGAGGGGACAGGAAGGGTGAGAACAAGGAAATCTGTGGCTGTTATGTAGAACTGAATAGTATTGTAAAAAATAAATAATAATAATAATAATAATAATAATAATAATAATAATAAAATACCTATGTCAACTCCAGCTGTAAGGTATTTTCTTAATTAGTGATCAATGAGGGAGGGTCCAGCCCACTGTAGGTGGTGCTACCCCTGGGCTGTTGGTCCTGGGTTCTATAAGAACGTAGACTGAGCAAACAATGGGAAGCAAGTCAGTTAGCAGCTCCCCTCCATGGCCTCTGTATCAGCTCCTATCTACAGGATCCTACCCTGCTTGGGTTCCTGTCCTGAATTCCTTCAGTGATGAACAGGGATGATGAAGTATCAGCCCTTTCCTGACCAACTTGTTTTTGGTCATGGTGTTTCGTCACAGCAATAGAAACCCTAACAAAAACTTTTTTATTTCACCTGTTTTTTATTACTTCCTGAATACATCTCTCTCTTCTCTCCAATCTACTTTCCCTTCTCTTTGTAATCATATGCTTATAGTATTGCCAATAACATTCTTCAATTCCAATTCCCTATTTCTTCCTTAACACCTTTGTCCATAGTTGGCCAATCAAAGTAAATATATACTTAATAAATAAATGATATACAAATGTAAAAAAAGAAAAACCATCCATCCATTGTGAAAGAACATCTCATATACACAGAGATGAGCACTGTGCTAAATCTATCTGCAATATGCAAACCTAATTGTTGTCCACAACTGTAACTTTCAAAGAACCATGGTGCAGATCTGAAAGCTAGTGTGTCATTGCACAATAGTGAACACAAAGACTTACAGGCAACTCAGAAATGCAGAGAGTCGGAGAAATAGACTTTACCTGAGAAAAGCATAACAATTGGTTATGCAATTCCAAATGCTCAGCCCTGAAAACGTACAAAGAAGTAACATTTTATAGACTGAGCAGATTGTATTTAAATATTGAGAAATAAGTAGATACATATACAGATGTAACAACAATTAATGAAAAAAAGACTGCAAATTTGAAAGAGAGAAAGGAGTAAACCTTGGAGAGAGGAAGAAGGGGGAATGATGTATGTATTTACGTTATGATCACAAAAATAAAAGAAACTAATTAAAAAGAAACAATAATTTTAGTAAAAGGAAATTAATATTTTGTACCAATGCTCTGTGTAACATTATTCTAGAATTCAACTTTTTAGACTTCAATTTCTCCAGCTAAGGTTTTGCCAAATCCACATAACATACATACATATAATGTCACAACTTCATTGTGATATTATCAAGAGAGATAATAGTTCTACATTTGTATTTGTATTTTAAGTATCAAATATTTTAAGTTCCATGGTGCAGAAACCTCCCGAAAGCTTTCTGACAAACTAGAAACTATGATAGGTCAGAACCTGCATATCTCTGCTCCCTTCTGGAAATCCTCTATCTGTGGTGTGGGGGATTCCTGTGGCTACTGATCTCAATGGACAGCTAGATACAATAACATGCAGTGAGTACAACTGGGCCATGACTGCTGAACAATCTCCATGATTAGAGCACTGATGCCTGGTCAGGATGCTTCTACGATGAGCAACCCTGGCTGGGGTGATTCACACACTGCTCATGGGATACATATATCCATACATATGTGTAGAATCACAATTAGCTAATTGACTTTGATGATGGCAAAACAGTAATGTCCACTGCACACTAGAGTTTGCCCTCTGCTTGACCTGTATGTGTACTTCCTGAATGATCTAGTTGATATTTCACCTTCTTTCATATATCTGCCCAGGATCACCTTGTGGTACTTGACATTCTGGTATTCTGATGTAGTTTGAGGAAGAGACACATCTGCATCAATTAGTTAGTGCATGAGAATCTCATGTTCCCACCCACAACCTACACAATCTGAGTCATTTCATCAAGAGCTCCAGAGCCCATCAAGGTAGATGAAGTTCAAAGAACATTTGGTCAAAGATTTCTCAACCACTGGACACTGACCTTGGCCTTGGAACTGAAGAAAGACTTGGGAAAAAGTTGGAAGGGAAGATGGGAGCTGATGAGGCGTGGTCCTTCCTTATTGATTAATAGTGGATATCCTCTTTGACTCTCTATCCAGGGTGAGCGGTCCCAGATAGGCACAGATTGGATCCAATTGGGATCCCCCTTGGTCTGAATCAAGCAGACAATCTCAATCAGCCAGTTAGTTCCTGAAGAAGGAAAAGTAATGGTCACTCATTTCAACAGTACTTGTCAAAAAGCCTCAAGTAGAAAATTGTACACCTGTACAATTGACAGTGAAGCTGTTTCCAGGCACACAGACCTGTGGAGTTCACAAAGTCCACATGCTCTAAGCACAAAGTATAGTCATCTAGCACATTGCCAATGCTTCACATGAAGAAACTGAGACTACATTCAATTAACTCTACCTAACATCCCCTGAAGTCCTGGGCCATCATCATTCTACATTCTGGTACTTTGAGTTCGACTTTTCCAGATACTTCACAGGGATGTAATTGTCGACTCTGTCCTTGAGACTAGCTCCTTTCTTTTAATGCCAAGCAATTGAGATTCATCCAAGCTGCAGTATGTGTATGAGTACTGCTTTTCTTTAGGTGACTAAATCCCCTTCTGTCTATTTTCCACACACACTTGTATTTATGTTTACATGTTCACTTGTCCTTGGGTATTTCTCTAGCTTTATTCTCTGGGTCATTGTATGAATCTTCTTCATGGATTCAACTACCCTTGGCTTTTCCATGTTCGTTCACTGTCAATGTCAGCAACCTAAAACTTACCTATGTTCAGAGCTTCTTCCACCCAGCAAACAACCCTCCCCAAAGCCCATGCTGCTTCTTTTCGTTTCCTTGAGTTTTAAGACTGTTTTCACTCCTTGGAAAAGATCCATGGTAATTCGTCTACCTGAAATTGTCCTTACCTCCACACATTCTTACATCCATGACTTTTACCTTGGTGCTGTTTCTTCTGTTTATTTTCCTCATTTTTCTCTTCTACTCTCCTCCACACAGAGACAGAACAATGCCAGAGTCTGCCTTAGGATCAACTGACATTGCTCCCATGGCCTAGATGGGCTTCTCTCCACACAGACCAGGCTGGTGTTCTTTCTCTGGGTGAAATGCACTCACAAACAGCAATCCATGCCACAAAACTTTTGCAACATCAGATATATAGAGCACGCCACTCATCACCCAAATGAATGAGGATCAAAGCCTTATCCTTCCTCATACACTTCAAGAGCACTCTCACTAACAGTTCTTACCTGATTTAGGGTAAGTCAGTATGACTGTGTCTTCATCTCTAATCACAAACATATTTCGAGTTTCTTCAATTATTTCTTTTTCATACTCTATAGTAGGGAAAGGTATCCCTTCAAACCAAAGGTAGTCTGACATGGCAAAGAGCTCTTTATGGGTGCTATTAGGATACAGCTTTATCCACCTTTTCAGCTTCTGGCAAATGTTGAGAGGTAATCTTTATAGTGTAGGCAAAGAAATTATTAACACTCCACAGTTCCTTGTAAATCTAGGTACTTACAAGAAGAAATAATGTAATAATAAGTCAAAGGTTGTTGTGTTAAGCAATTGTGAACACATTCAGAGATCATTCTGCAATATTCATGATCCCAAACCAGAAACTCAATGACAAGTACTAGGACATAAAAATGGGGTTTAATTTAAAATATTTTCTAATACAATTCAGCTTTCAGAAAGGTTTCAAATGTGCATAAAAGTTACAGAGATCATACAAAATGTTACCACATGAAAGTCTTTTTTTAAAAGTAGTGTTTATTTTAGAAAAACTCAAGTCCTTAGTTGTGCTATATGGCTCCCACCTTCATTCTCCCCCTCCAGTGCCTCCTTCCCTTCCTGTATTTATGATTTCTTCTTTACTTTTCAGTTTATGTAAGTGTATATTTATATGTATATGATCACATGTGCATGTAACCTACTGAGTCCAATTACTTCTGTTTGTATGTGAATGTACTCTGAGTGGAGCACTTGTGATTGGAAAACAAATATGGGATTTCTCTACTGAGGGAGATGATTCTCTTTCAGCAGCCATTCACCTCACCTAGAGGTAAGACCATGTAGAATTCCCCCTGTCTTTATTTCTATACCAAATGGTGTGATTATGATAGCATATTTCACTAAATATACTATTGAGAGTTCATAGGTGTATTTTACTGCCATGTCTAGGATATATGTACCAGCAATTAGGATTCTTAGGTGCTGGGGGCTTTCTGTCGCCTCTTCTGTTTTTTTTTCCCAATCTTTCAGTTGAATGAACTCATTGCAGATGTATTATCAGTTGTGGTTGGTCACCTTACATTCAGTTATTCTCTGGATTTTGACCAGTTGTGAGACTTTGTAATAGTCTTTATATGTTGCAAAAAGAAGCTTCTTTGATGAGGGTGGGAATTATATATATCTATGTTTAAGAGATAGGTATTAAGAAAACAGCTAGAAAGAATACTGGATCTCTGTGGTTCTAGGCCCAAGTGGTTGTCTAGGTGTACAGTGCCAGACATGGCTTCCCACTTGTTGAGTGTGCCTTAAGTTCAATTAGACAACCTTTGAAACCCCAAAGATGAAAGCTCCACTATTGCATCTTCATGGATATCTTTCCAGTCAAGTTATTGTTGTGGTTCACAGATATCACACCTGGAGAAGCCGAGTGATTGCTCTTCTCCCTCTGCAGCTTTTCACTTTATGAAAGCCACTTTTCATATAAGAGGTTCCAGTTCAATTTCAGTTCAATTAATTCGAATTCTGTGTCTAAAGTGTAGTGTGACTTTGGCAACAGAGTTGTAATCTAAGTTCTGTGTGCCAATCAATCAAGGGCAATAAGACTTGGTATTGTTTTGAAGGTCACTTGGAGTACCCTGAACAACTAGAGAGGGAGTTTCTCATGCATGGTGCTGGAGTTTTCCCTTACAGTCCATGGCACTTTGAGAGAGTATTATCATTATAAATTTTATAACATCTTTAAAATACATGTTAATACATGCATATTGTATATGACTTTAGATAAATATGAGATAATAAACTTCCCTGTGTCTCTCCAAACATCCTTCGTAGTATTTATCTCTCTTTCCTCTCTGTCACTCTGTATTCTCTCTGTACCCATATCTGTTCAAGTCCCCGAATTTCTTCTATTTCTCCCTTTGTAGCACCTGCATGCTATTCCAGTATCTCGAGCTTTTTCATTAATTGCTCCAGTTTTTCTTTCTTAGTTCTGTAGTTATTCCAGGTTATGAAAGCATATCCACTAATGTGTAGACAGGAAGCACAAAGAAGGAGGAACATTTAGCATTTGTTTTTCATGTCTGGGTTACTTCTCTCATTATAATACTTTTTAGATTCACCCAGTTATCTGAAAATTTTCATGACTTCATTTTTCTCCGCAGCTGAGTAGAATTGTATGTATGTATCATATTTTCATTTGTCATTCTTTTGTTGAAGGATTGGCCTCATTATCAGTATTAGTTATGGATTTGATCTGATGGAGTTGGATTTAAATTCAATTAAAAGTTGTTGACATCTCCCAGAAAGTTTGTGCCATTATTGCACCAGTATATCTTGAAGATAGCTCACTTTTGTAGATGTATCATAGTGATGATTGATTTTCTTCTCTTGCAGTGTGCACAGTACCTTCCAGGACTATTAATCAAAATTATCCTCAATGATGCTTCCTGTTGTATACCAGATCCTTTTCTCTATATTCAATGATATAAATTAAGTTCTATCTTCAGGAATAAAGCCTTACTATCAGGTTGTGGAAGGTAATCAATAACACTGGCAATAGCCTATGCTGTTTGGGGGCAGGTGGACTGTGGGAACCCTTTGACCAACAACTGAAAAGATGTAACTAATTCCTGTTACTTGAAGTTTTACTTGGTAGTATATGATTTCTGTAGGGAAAAAAGGCTGGCTTAGGAAAAGAACCCTGACCATGGAGACCAGAAGTAGGGAAAGATGTCTCAGATCAGGGCAGAAAGCAACACAGTTTGGCTTAGTCAGATTTGAGCCATCTCTGCCACTGGCCAACTGACTTGTGAAACCAACCAATCACAGAGCAGGACAGTAGAACCTTGGGCCCCAACTCAACCCCTAGTTGACTACATCCCCAAGATATCCTGTGTAAACCACCCTGTCTAGTCCATTAAAAATGCTGTTCTCTTCACTCTGTTAGAGGTCGCTACTCTCCTGGACTCCTCCTTCCCAAATAAATCTCTTTCTCTAAAGATTTTTGGGTGTGAAGATCTTCATTCACTGACATAGAGAAGATCCTTGCTGAGAAGTCCATCAGTGGAGAAAACAAGGGAGAGTTGAAAGAGCAGTGCAAGGTGGAGCTTAATAGAAGATCTTTCCTGAGAGGTCTCTCAATGGACAGAGCAAGAGAGAGTTGAAAAGGTTGCACTATTCCCCAGAGCTGGAAAAGATTGCTACATTTATGCAGGGGTTTCCCCTTTTGCAGAGTGAAGCAAAATAAGCAACATCTTAGGCTGGAAAAGCAGAGTTCTGATAGGAAGCCCCCTTACGTGGGGGCTGAGCAAAGCTCAGCTATAGTGGTTCTTCAGGAGCAGAACAGAATTGATATATCCTGTGGGGAGACCATCCTGTATCACACCAGGTAGGTATACCATGATTTTCCAGAACAGTCATGATACCCTTCCTGGTGAAGCAGTTCTAGGCCTGACTTTCCAGAAAAGTCAGAAAAATTTTCCTTCCAGGGTTGGGCTTCTTCCTTGCAGTTCCAGCCATCAGAGATGCGCTAAACAGCTCCAGGTGTGCAGGACACCTTCAAGGCAGAGCTATTTTTCTGTGAAGCTTGAGGTGTCTGGAATACCTTGTCCTCCATGGCTGAAATGTCCCCTTGAAGTTCCAGCTGTCAGAGCTGTCCTAAGCAGCTCAAGGTGTTGCCTGACTCTCCAGGTAGTGAGGACACCTTTCCCCAGTGTTGTTCCAACAAATTTTCTTACATTGTTGGTGCTGAAACACAGGACCAAACCCACAATTGTGGCAACCAATTTACTTAAAATTTCTAGTTGGAGCATTATCTCCTCTATATAGCATAATGAAATTTAAATTATCTTATTTACTTTAGGGAGTTTCCACAATAGTAAGTTTCCACATGACTTTTCAATATGTCTTTATTATTAATTATAGTAAACAGTATGCATATATATCTGGTTATATAATAGATATAAAATTATATCTATGTAAGATTATATATATAATTTTAACTGCTTGTTGATAAAAATTTGATCTGGCTTATTATTTTGATATTATACAAGATTGTGGAAATAATGGAAACTAACAGTACAGAATAATTCCAGTAACAATAGAATATCATATTTTTTGTATCATGCTTTCTATTGGTGCACCCATCAGCTACCAAATCATGACAAGGAGACTCATAATTATTTATGAATGCTTGGCTTTACCTATGCCTGTGTCACTAGCTCTTATAATTTAAATTAACCTGTTTCTCTTATCTACATTTTGTCTCAGTATTTTTACCTTTCTTTCCTTCTGTATGTCCTACTTGACGTTCTTGTCTGTCTGTCTGGTCCTGGGTACCTGCCTCTCTTTCTTCCTTATTCTCTCCACTCTACTTTTCTTTCTAGACTCCTCCTCCTATTTATTCTCTCTTCCCACCACCCTACCTATGTCTCTCCTGCCTAGCTAATGGATGTTTGACTTTTGGTTGGACCAATGAGATGCCTTAGGGAGGCAAGGAGAACAAATAAACACATCTGTAGATATTTAAAAAATGCTGCATAAACAAATGTAACACACATTTACATAGATAAAGTAATATTCTGCAACATAAACAAATGTAACACATCTTCACATAGTTAAAGTAATATTCCACAAAACATTTTGAATCCATCTGATATACTAAATTTTGGTCATTAGAATGAAAATGGCCCCACAAATGAAGTGGCAATATTAGCAGATGTGGCTTTGTTTGAGTATGTGTGACTTTGTTGGAGGAAGTGTTTCACTTTGGAGTGGTCTCTGAGGACTCATATATGCTTAAGCCATTTCCAATGACTCAGTCCATTCCCTATTGCCTTTGGATCAAGTTACAAGGACTCTTAGCTTCAGCACCACATTTGCCTGTATGTTGCTCTGTTTCCCACCATGAAAATAATTACTCAACCTCTGAATTGTAAGTGAGCTACCCCATTAAATGTTTTCTAAGAGTTGCCATGGTCATGGTGTCTCTTCAAAGGAATAGAAAAACTAAGACACAAACCTTGTTTGTGATAGGAAATAAGAGATTAGATCTGTGAGATGTCAGGATTCCATAGATTTTGTGGAAAACCATATTTCTTATTTATAAGCAGACCATAAAATGGGAGAGTCACAATGTGGCTCAGTGGTTAGTGGTTAGGAGTACTTTTTGCACTTCCAGAGGA